ATGATAATTTCGATGATTCGTTATAAAAATTATATTGAATTAAATTGAGAATTTAGAATTTTATCTTGATTCTGTTTCTTTTCGATTATTTCGATTTTAATATGTATATATTTAATATTCTTTTATTTTTTGTAATTTGAAATATCAATATATCACAGATGTGTGTTACTTATTATAAAAACGCGAAAATAATAATACATGCAAAATGAGAACAGAAGCTGAGAATAGAATTTCCAATGGAAATAGAATAATTGGTATTAAACAAATCGAATTCCAATCATGAATGTTTAAATAGGAACGGTTGTAGTTTTAATTAAAGCTTCGTGTTGTTCGAGAAGGTTAATATTTGCTAATGCACCAATTATACTTTTGAATCTCGTGTATCGATTCTATTAACAATTTCAATATCAAATTTTATTTGTATCAATTTCCGTAATTAGAATCTCACGAGATCTTTTCTAATCTTGTTTCGAAATTATTTTCAATTAATTTTAAATAATAATTTCAATCGTATTAATTTTCTTAAATTGTTCTTTTATTTTTATTCTTTTATCTTTTTTTAAATACGTATTAAAAAATTTATACGTACATTGAAAATAAAAAAGTAAAGAAAAAAATTCTCGAAAATAAATTTTTCATCGATGAACATTGTCCTGAACGTGATTGTCCGAGAGTAATTTGCACAAAAATTTATTAGAGAATAAATTTGCAAAATTTTCTATGCAAAAATATTCGCAAATCATTAATATCACAAATGTTATTGTTTTGAAATTGAACGCCGCGCCGCGTATTTACATTTTCGGCGGAACGTTCGGCAACGAAGGCAACGTGGTGGGGGAAATCACGCGATTCCTTCGTTTGCCTTTCAGTAGATTTCGGCCATTTCTTGTGTGCGCGTCTTTTCTTCGTTAAATTATGCGTAATAATTAAAATAAACGTGTAATAACGTCTTTTTTGTGTAAGATAATGTTGTGCACTTCATTTGAATACCAAGTTTCGTGAATTTCGCGTTCGTTTTATGAGTACGCGTGTTTCTTTTCGTTAAAATCGATTTTTAATAATTGATAGAAGCTTCTCAACGTATTTTTATGCGCAGTATAGCGCTTCGCGGTTATCGTATCCATCTTGATTTTTTGAATTTGTGAATTTTGCAGTCTTTTCGTGTATACATATATACGATTTCGTTAAAATCGATTTTTACTAATTAGTAGAAGCTTCTTGATGATTTTTCGTGCATAGTACAGTGCGTGTTTAATGTTTCGTAACAATCGTGTTCATCTTAACTACTAGAATTCGTGAATTTTGCGATCGTTTCACGTATACACGTGTTTTTTTTTTTTCGTTAAAAGCGGTATTTAGTAATTAAAATAAACGTTTTAACGTATCTTTATGCGTAGTATAGTGCGTATATAATATTTCGCGATAAGTGCATCCATTTTGAGAGCTGGTATCATGTTGGCATCATGGCGGCATCATCGTGGCATTATCTGTAAGTACTCTAAATAAATGTTAATTGTATTTTTATCTTTATTTTATGCGTGAAATGTTTTTCGTTTCTATGTGTCGTATTTAATTTACTATTTACAATTTATCTTACTATTCGTTATTCACGATTTAATTTATCACCTTTCATCGAAAATGTTTCTCATTTCGTTATTTCACGCGAGATTATTCGTATACAATTCGAAAAAGATATTTCTATCGTATTGTTCGATAAAGTTAGTCAAAAATGTTCGATATAACGGGTGTTTCAAAGCGTTGGCGAGATTTACGTGCGACATAACCTCTACGAAGGAAGAGAAGATCTGTACATTGGCGGAGATGAAAGAATATAGGGAATCGCTGCAGGCAGACGGAAGACAGATCAGAAAAGTTTCGCGAGCCAATCACCGGGGCTGGATATCGGATTCAACGATAAAAATGACAAAGTCTTGAAAGTTTCTTCTTCTTCTCCCTGTCGCGCATAGTCGCGATTCCTTTCGAATACGTCGTCGACCTTTCTAGATCGATGGACACTCGGGAAAGAAATGCTTTGAAAGTGTACACTCGCTTCATTCGAAAGAGGCAAAAAGTTAGATATCTTTTATAGGGAAGAAGTTGAAAAATTATTTCGATATTTTAATTTCCAATATTTTCCAATATTTCGAACGTCTTCCGAATTCTATATTACGTTCATTATTTTTTCGTTATCGTTGAAAAGAAATTACATACTTACCTCGTGTTCGTTTCTTGGGATTCCAATATCTGGAATTAAAATCAAAAACGAAGGGAGGCAGGAAAAGAGAAACGATCAATTTTCTAACCGGTCTCATTTATTTGGTAACTCATAGATATACACGTTAACGTTCTCTTAAACCTATTAGAGAAATGAAAACGCAGAAGGACCGTGTGTCCCGTTTCACCCCCGATTCGATCTTTTAGAGGGGTGAAAATCGAAAATAGAGAGAAAAAAAAAAAGAAAAGATTAAAAAACGAAAGAACGAGCCGTGACCGGCCGCGTCCTAAAATCATTAGAAAAATACACAGTTTACGCGCAAATCCTTTCAAACTGAATTAATTCTCGTCGATGTTCCGAACTTATCCTCGCGCTTAATGACGTCCACCTCGTTACCCAGGCGAATGTTATCTTCTATCCTCTCTGTCTCCTTCTCTCTCTCTCTCTCTCTCTCTCTCTACATCTCCATATATGTATGTGTGTGTTTTCACACGCGTGTATATGCAACACGCTCTCGCGTTCCTTTCGCGGGATTCGCTGTGACGACGAAATCGTTCGATTAATTCGCTCGACGTGTCCGCTCATTTACAGGTTTTTCTACTTTCGGTAATTTCCATTTGGAAATAGGGCCCTCGGTTTTTCGATACGACAGGACAGGTGAACGTGTATCCCTCCCGTATCGCGTTTCACACGAATTTCGAGCCGGAATAAACGTGGAAAATTCGAGCATCGTTCATTATTTCGACCCGTGTATAATTTCATTTCGTCGCGACGGAACCGACCACCGTGATCTCTCCATTCCATTTTCGTGTCACCCAGTCAACCCCTCCCGCGCCACCACCACCCTCCAATCATCCACGAACGACACATTCGTTCCGTGAAATTGAGTTCTCTGGGGTGGCGTTCGGGCAATTTTGATAATGGGCGCGAAATTGTGGTAAAAACTGGGTCGGATTGTTTTTGATCGCGTTGCAATTGGCGGATAATGCGGCTCATTCGGGCCACTTTCGGATACCCGGCTTTTTTCCCATCGTTTTAACGCGTTCAACGATGGATGCGTTCGAAATACCCTTTGACAAGCGATATTTATTAAGTCGATTTCCCGTGATCGATGATTTCACGTCAAGTTTTGACCGGCTTTTAACGGTAATAGGCGTTGATTCGAGCGTGTTACCCGGATCGTCCCGATTTCTGGCTTCGTCGCTTAGACGTTGAAATTTTCCGATGGCGATGATCTTGATTACGAATCATGCGACTTCGTTTACATATAAATGAATAATTAAAATTGGTGGTAAACGGATTTAAATAAATATTAATTTAAAATCGCGCGACAAATATTATTTTTAAAATATATCTCGCGATGCATCGTTGGAAGGATTAATACACGCGCTCGTTCCTATCTTATACATGTGATCCACGTTAAAACAGAACTTAATGAGCGGTCACGTCGAGATTAATCGCATCGAGTACCATCTACCGCGAATCTACAATTCAAAATCGATCGATCAGAATTATTATTCAACGTTAAACAATCCTTCGATCTCTTATAAAATCGAAGACATTCCGTTCTAACTACCCAACGTCACGGATATCCCATCAACGTCCCAATCTAACGCGCGATAGATACACACGCGAGAAAAGATTACGAAATCGATCTTCTTCTTCTCTCCTCTTCACGTAATATAATTTTATCATTCACCGCGAAAGGAAGAACGACAACTCGGCAAACGACGTAAAACGGGTACAATGAACGTTACGTGGATTCGTTGATACGTTCTACTTAACGTCAAAATTCTTATTATCGCACGGCCTCCCTCTTCGACCAATCTTTCTTCTCTCCTCTCCTCTCCTCTCCTCCTTTCTCGAGGATCGTGATCGAATATCGGTCTCTATAGAACGGATGAAAAAGAATGCTCCATTCTTACACGAACACTCATATCTCTCTCTCTCGTCATCGATAATATTCGCAGCAGCACTCGTAATGCGAATAATTTCGTGGCGAGCCGCGACGATTTGCATCCTTTTCCGCGCGATAACTCGACACAGGATGGGAATTCGATCCTCGACTCGACCTCACCTTCGTTCCTTCACGATATTTTCCGGCTTGTTACTCGATTTTGCGACGGCACGTGGAACGATATTATTGGAATTGGCGCGGGTTGGGCAACCGATGGTTTATTTACAATACGAGAGTTGCTCGGATGTGAAACTTTGGATGTTGGGGGAGGTGGATGTCGAGTTTTACGAAACAAGATGGAAATAATTTTTGAGGGGGAGATGTGGAAGCGAGGATCGATCTCGAGTTATCCCACTCGATGGAATCGCGGCCAACCAAGTATACACATCGACGTTTCTTGGCATCTTACACTTACTCGCGTTTAAGAATACGAATCGTACAAAACAACTATTAACGCTAGCCCCTTCGCTCCCTTCGACCCTGTTATTCCACACATTCGAACCTCTCCGCCTCGACGAAATTTTCACTCTTATCATATATTTCGTCGCTCGAAATTTATTCGAAAATCGTCGAGATTCACGAATTTCTCCAGAATGGAATTCGTCGAGGAGCGGAATAATTCGCTCGGGTAAGAAAATCCAGTCGATAAATATCGACGAACGGAACGAAAATGTTTAGACGTTTCGGAATTTTCACTAATCGAAGATCAACGTCCTCAACGAACTCTTTAAAGTCGCTTTCGTTGGACAGAGGTTGCGACAACTTTAGCGTATAGCCGATTCTTTCTTCCTCGCCTTCTATTTTCTTCGTCCTTTTATTTATACCCGAGAGGAGGAAAGTTGGCGTGCAGCGGCGGACGCCAGGGGAGAGGTCGAAGTTGCAGGGTCAGTCGATCCCCTCGATAGTAAGAGCGAAACGGGTTGGCAGTTGGACAGTAATTGATCAGCTTTTCCGCAGCAGTTCCCCGAAATCGAGCGTTCGATCGGAGCAGTTTTTTTTTTTTCCTACTTTCTCTTAATACACCACCATTCACTCTCTCTCTCTCTCTCTTCTCTCTCGTTCGTTACATAGCGTTTTTTTTTCTTCCTCTTACTTTAGATAAGTTTAATCGGTTACTTAGGCGCGTTGATTAGTTACGATACCCAGCAGTGACCTTCCTTCCTTCCGCTTCCTTCTGCCCTACTTGTTGCACTTGTTGCTGATACTTTCCTGGAAAATTAGGATGGCTTCGATCGTTCTCCCTCTCTCCGATCGCCATCCGTTTGTTTCTCTTCCCGTGTTTTCTCATTCGTCGAGGAGAGTTCGTGGTTACGCGCGCCTCGCTCGTAGAATCGAACGTGGAAGAGCGCGGTAGTCCCCCCAGCAACGGGAGTTGGGGAATCGTGGCGATCTCCGGATGGAAATAAAAGGTGGAAGCTGGCCAACGTGTCCTCGTTACGTGTCTCCGTCGAGCGATGCGTGGGTCTCTCTCGTCCGTTCTCTCGTGTCCTGCCTGCCACCCTTCTCTCTTCCTCCTCGTCCTGTGTCCGGAGCTTCAGTGAAGGAAGACGCTGGTGACGGACCTGGTGGTGTGGGGCGGCAGGTCGGGGGCCTCCGTGGGGGCCCCCTCGTACCCCTATGCGCTCAGCCCGAGCCGATGGATCTTGGCCGAGAGAAAGTTGTGCAGCACGAACACGATCGGTTTGGGACAGCTCTCGAGGTCCAGCTCCTGGAATTTTTATCGGGGAGAAGCAAGCGTTAGATAGATTCGCCAAGATTTGGTAAGAATTTTGTCGAGTCGAGTCCGGTCGGATTCGAAGTAAGGAATCGCAAATGCTTAAGTAGATAGCGTGGAAAGATTATAAATGGGATCTAATGGGACCTATATTTTTCTTTCTGGAGATAGGAGTTCGAGAGATACGAGAAATGTATGGCGAATAGTTAAAAAGAAAAAAAAAAAAATCTCTCGAGAATAGATTCCTCGTTTCTGATAGTTTCTAATCGAAAAATCATTATCTTCTATAGTTTTCCTTCCCCGTTTATGACAAAATCGAGTGGAGTCGCGCGTGAAAATAAATTTTGGAAATCGGCAATTCATCTCGGCACAATGGAAAAATCGATTTCTCGTTATTTACACCGATTCGAGTTAAGAGAGTGGGACCAATCGGCGGGATCATTGTTTCTTCCACGCGGTCGATCGCTTAATAAAAAAATTCCAAGAAGGAAGAATGGAGGATATTCGCCACCAGCTTCGTTTCAAGGCTCTCGAGGGCGGAATAATTTTTCCATCGTGACGTCTGTCGCGGCAAATTCTCTCTCTCTCCCTTTCTCTCTCTTCTGACTCCCAACCCCTCCTCTTCCCCAGCGCTTTGCAGAAAGATAGGACGGTAGCGTTATGAATGGCCATTGAACGGCGGGAGGAAAGCGGAGGGACGGTGTTTGGAGAAGATGTAAAATACGGTATTCGACGGTATCGTGCTCCGGCATCGAGGGCTCTTTGAAAAGTGACGAGCACAATGGGATTACTCGATGCACGGCCCTCCTTTTCTTTTCTTCTCCCTCTTTTCCACCAGCTATCCCTCTCCTCTCGTCCGAGATAATAATCTCGATAGTCTAGGCGGGGGTCAATTAAAATTCTCAATACCCCCGCCGCCGGGAAGAAGGAGAGAGAGAGAGAGAGAGAGGAAGGCTTCTTTCACAATAAGTCCTCTCTCGCGTCGCGTTATTATCGAACACGTCAGCCCCAGCTCGATATTTTTTGCTAATTTTCTTCCATTCGTCATACGGTGAGAAAATCGCGAGAGAATGTCGATCCCGTTAGGGGGAGGAGAGCTTTAAGGGAGAAAGAAAAAGAAGCCTTTTAAGAAGGGTGGGTGTGGATTTGTATCAAGAGGGGAAGGACGCGATGAGTTGCGTTTTTTCTTTTACTTAATTAAAATTCGTGATTCTAAAAAAAATTGATTTCTTCCCTCCTTTTTTTTTTCACGCGTTAAAAATAAGTTTTACAAGTTTCTCTTCCGCAACCGTCGCAAGACGATCAAAGAATCTTCGTTATGTTGAAATCAGATTCTACGTTTTACGCTTTCGAAAAATACAACTTTCGAAGTTGGTTAGCAATAGTGTTCCAATAATCGAGATATTTCTTTCGAATCGATCAAATTACACTCATCGCGTGTTTCTCCTAAGATAGAGATAGAGGAGGAAGGAATGTTATTTCGAACGAAGGATTCATGCGTTCCTTTGAATGATAAACGAAGTTTTCACCGCGTGTCACACTCACAATCTCGCCATCCTCGCCGCCAAAGTCGAGCCATAATAGACGCGCCCCATCATCGGCGGACATTTTCAGTTTATCGAAGGATCTTCTCCAAAGAGGGGTCGGAGAGGAGCTTGGACTCATCCCGTTTCCACCGCCTCTAGCCCCAGCTGCGTACAACGCGAAGCCATCCTCGTGGTTTACGACCAGCTGACAGGCCTTCCCTTGCCACGTGCACCCTGCAACAACAACAACAAACAGTGCGCATCCTAATTAGAATTTTATCACGTGTGATAAAATTGTTGTATCGGCTCTCCCGACGATCGCGAACAAACAACGAATTTTAATGAATCGTGTATGGAATCGCGTATGGATGGGCGATGGAGCGAGGGAAGACAAGAATTTTTTAATTAAATCGAATTAAATTAAATTAAACAATTGGGACGAGTGAGAAATTAACTTTTTTCCTTTTTCTCGATAAAATTAAAATCGTCAAGTAAAATAGGAAGGTGTGTGTGCATATTTCGAGCAAATAATGAAGTTCGGCAATGAAATCGAGTTAAATTAAACGGCAGCCAATCGGCGCCGAATTGAAAAATAATTTTCACGATGGAACGGAGCTCGGCTGAATAACATCGTTCAATCGCGAAAGAAAAGAGATTAAAAAGAAGAGAGAGAGAGAGGGGGGGGGGAAGAGAGAAAGGAAAGGAAATCCTCGGATGAAATCTAGGCACGAACTGAAAAAAAAAAGGAAATCGAAACGCGTATTCAACAACGTATATTTCTCGCGGCAGTTTTCCATCGTCCTCCGCGTCTTTCGGGGTCAGCAGGAGAATCCGCCGCGAATCATGACCGATGCGAGTTCGATGCGCACGGGGAAAAATAAGGGGTGATACCACGGCATTAATCTCGATTTATTATTGCGCTATGAATCGCGGAAAGAAATTAAAATTCATCGAAGCGAACGCGTGCGTTGCTAACCCGTTCCGCTTCCCTTTTTTTTCTTCCTTATGTAAAGATGCATGCCTCCCCTCCCCACACTTCTCTCCCTTGTTTCGAACGAGATTATTCTTCTCTGGTTTTTGTTTTCTTTTTCTTTTTTTTTTTTTATTCGCTCGATTCCTTTCGCAAATAAACATTTAGAGAAATTAACATTTAGGGCTCCGCGACAGATAATATCCTTTATAACGGAGGTGTAAAGTTGAATGGTTTCGATTTCGAAGATATTTCCTGCGCGAAGAAGGGAATAATTTTGTGAAAAATTATGTACTCACGAACGGTGTACTCGCGTAACGAATGAGCGGCCGCGTGACAGCCTTGAACGATCGCCCTGGCCCACGCGGCCAGGTCCCTCCTCGTCTCGGCGCGTAGATGATGCGTCACCACGCCGTCCATCGTGCCCACCCGCACAGCGAAAGTGGCCGCGTGTTGCGTCGCACCGCCACTGCTGCTACCACCTGCCTCGTTCTGCCTCGCCGGGGACGACACCAGTCTGCAAACATTTCGGCGGAAATATCCTTTTTTTAGATGTTAGGACAGATGCCAATTTCAACTTCTTCCCTTGGAAGAAGTCCTCGCTGCTGAAAGTAAGCTTTGCTTACGACGCAATTTGCATTTGTATCCGCGTCTCTATGAGAATTCGCGCGTTAATGTTAACAATTATCGGGCGATGAGAGAGGAGGAATTGGTTTTCATTGTGTGTTGCCGTCTCGAGAGGAGGACGAGTTCCGCCAGGAAATTCCCTCCTCCTTTCTCCTTCCTCCCCTCCCAGTTTCGTTATTGCCCGTTACTGCTCACCCACTTACGAACGCCATTTACACATTGGAACGATTCTCTATCGTTCGAGAAACGTAAAATACGATATAATGGCGGCTCTTTGTTTAAGAGACAAGAAAAGCAATCGAGTTCCCTTTATTTAAAGGGAAGCGGAAAGTAATCAAACAGGCGGGGCAGCAAAGGTAGAAAGGCGATGGAGGGGAGGGAAATTTTCATCGCAGCATTCATTGCAATTTTAAAATCGTCCATTCCCCACTCTCTCTCTCCCCCCCCGATCTCGAAGTTGAACTCTTGGCAAAGAAAAAAGGAAAAGGAAATTTTCTTTTTTCACACGAATACGTATTATCCAGCGGGGCGTGAACTGCCTTCCGAGGGTGAATTACCTCGTGCGATCCACCACCATCCCGCATCGTAAAAATCGCTCGCGGCTTTATTGCGCGTGGCACGGAGCCGACTGACACCCGAGAGGCCCTCTTCAACCCTCCGCTCTCTCCCCCCCTCATGCCGCAATCTGTCCGCTGACGAATGGTCCTGACGTACGCGGCCTCCCCGTTCGTTGGATTTATAGATTTTTCGGGAGGGACGTTGGAAAAAAATGCCGAGCAAAATGGCTCCGCGATTCTGAGAGAAAGAGAAAAATTAGACGACAGATTTGGCGCAATTTTGGAGAAAGAAAATTTCTCAAAATCTGTCTACTTCAAACGCGATCAGAACGAATTTCCTTCGTACAATTCTGAATACTTCGAATTTTCGAATACATCGATTTTAATTATTCGAAATTCATTTTCTCGAATCAGTAAGTTCGCCAAAACCCGCGCTCAACAATAACAGGAATCCCAATCGGCCTAATTTCTTGCCGGCATAGAAAACGCAAAAATCTTTGCATTCGGCTCACACACCCGAACTAGATTATTCCTGTTCACCCGGAGCGAATAACGTATGAGGTTTGCCTCCTACGGGGGTCCCCCCGCTCGAAACGTTTTATCCCTTTACTCGCGGCGATAGCGCGCGGACACTTTGGCGTATCACGCGTGCATCGATTCGGCTTTCGGGTCGGAAGAGCCGTTTTCGATCCGTGATCTCCAATCGATCCGCCCCCGCGATGATGGAACGACAGGGAGAGGAAGTGTTTTCGAGCGATGAAAAGGTGTTGTTTCAGTTGCTCGCTTCCGTGATTCCGATTTTTTACCGAGATTTGGTAACGAGTTGTATTAATTATAATAAATGAATAATTCTCCCACGATGACAGGGAGGAGGGGTGGTGGTGGATGGCACGGGTATTACGAACGGTTTAATTGGTTTATGTTCTTGTTACCATTATTTCGCGTATATACCGTAATCTAAGAGGATGTGTGTGATTCATTTTTANGATATATATATATATATATATATATATATATATATATATATATATATATATATATATATAT